CCAAGCTTCGCCCGGCAATGCCTGCCCGACCCCCGCTGCCTTCGCTCTCCGCGAGGCTCCCCCCTTTCCTGTCCAGAGCTCCCCAGATCAGAATCCCTCTGCCTCCTGCTCTCCACCCCCCCCCATCCCATCGGAGCCCCTTCTGCAGGCTTCTCCCCACCCCGTGGGCCATACTGGGGCCTCAGGGCAGTGCGTCCCTCGTGGGTGATAGCTGCCTTCTGCCCGCAGTTGGGGTGGAAAAGCAGGCGCTCGGGCTCTGCCTGAGCAGCAGGGCTAGCACGCCGGAGGGCCCCCTCCGGAGACAGCGCCCGCAGGATGGCGTTGTTCCGGCGCAGACGGTCACTGTGGTTGTTGTCGTGCACGATGGTCACCTTCACGGCCATCCCGTACAAGTCCACCACCCCGTACACCACGGCGGGCGTCAGTGGGGTGGCCACGCCTGGGGGGAGGGGGGAAACGTGGGGAGACCAGCATCAGAGACAGGCAGGACAAGGAGGTACAGACCCCCACTCCCGAAAGCCCTGACCCAGCAGCCCACTCTGGGCGTCCCCTTACCCTGGTCGATGCCGTTGATGAAGAAGTGGAGGGCAGAGTTGGACTTCCTCGTGAGACCAATGTGGTCGCCTTCCTAGCCAAAGCAGACAAACAAAGATCCGGAATCCATCCCCCCATCAGGCTCCAGGCTTGTCCTGGGGCCCCTGAGAACAGAGGGGTTCTAAAGCCTTCCCACCAGCCCAGGCCGCTGGGGAACAGCCCTGAAGGCGCCGGAGTCTCGAGCCCCCGAACTCTCCCGGCAAATCAGTCACGGCGCGAAGCCCCCTTACAAACATCCCCTTACCCACCTCTCCAAGCAGTTTATAAAATACTAACAGGCTCAGTTCAGACGTTAGAAAAAAATAAAAAAAGGAAAAAAAAAAAAAACACCACCTACCAGAGACAACGAGCGAGCTGCTTGCCTCTGGTCACGACCCCACAAGGCCACACAGTAAGAGAAAGTGACCCTCTGACTCCAAAATCTGAGAGCCTAACTATCGGACAACCCTGCCTTCTCAGAAGGAACCCTCAGGCGAGAGAGCAGAGGCCTTGCTCTAGGTCGCAGCGGAGAGCGTGGTGCCCGGGCAGGGATGCGGGGTGACGGGGCTGCCCCAGACGGCGGCCCCAACTCTTGCGCCCCAGCCCCCTCACCTGCAGCTCGTCCAGACTGAATTCACAGTACTCCCGGCGAGTGCCCTTGCCGTTGGTCAGGATCCCGCAGCCGCTCATCATGATGGTGCCTGGGGGTAGGTAGACACCTGACTAGGGCCCGGGCCTCCCTCGCCTTAGGAAGGTGCCTCCGCCCGGCCAGGGGCTGGTACCTGACTGCAGGTTGGTCATGGTGGCTGGGTACTCCAGGTTGTTGGGGTTGTGTGTGGTGACACCAATCTCAATGGAGCCCGACCACTTGTCCACAAGCTTGTCGATGCGGATCTTGGGGGGAGCGACAGCAGAAGGGGGAGGCGGGATGTGTAAAGGCCGAGAAAGGACCCCCGGCTGTTCCCTGGGCCCCACCCTTCCACCGTCAAGGATGGAGCCCCGTCTTTGGTTCCCGGAGGGTGAGGGGCCAGCCAGCGCCCGGGAGCTTGCACACCTCAAACATCTCATTGTCCCGGAGCGGGCGGTTGGTCATGACAACCCCGTTGTTGAATTCATCCAGGGGCCGGCGGCGCTCGGCGGTCTTATTGTTGTTGCTGAGTTTGATGAGCGTCCCGCACTTCTCGTGAAAGAGCAGGGCATCGTTGGAAGTGAGGACGGGCGAGGTGGCGGCACCACCAGACCCCAGTCCTTCCCCTGCCGGCGGGGAGCTCAGGTTCACATTTAGGAGCCCCCCGTTGTAGGCAGACAGGATGGCGTTGCCCACCACCTCGGAAAGCTCCATGCTGGCAAAGTCTACGGCAGCGGGACGGGGGGAGGGAAGCTGGAATGAGGTTCTACACCCTCAGGCTTGCCACTCTCCCCCTAGCCCTCTCCTGAGGCCCCTCCCCTCGCCTCGTCCACCTCACTTCCCACTCCCCAAAGCCTCCCGGAAGCCCTCACCATTATGTGACTCAAGGCTGTTAGGAAACGTCTCCGGCCGGGCCTGCGCTGGGGACACCACGAAGGCTGGGGACCGGGCGGGATGGAAGGGGAATAAGGGTTCAGCCCCTGCTGCAGGGCCCACAGACAGGAGACCCCCCCCTCCTCTAGCCCTTTCTTTCCCCTTCAACAGACTCCGGGGGGGGTGGGGGGGTCTGAGTGACCCTGTTCACACCCAGCCTTGTTTGTCCCTTGGTCTCACCCAGGCCTTCAGCCGCTCCCTCCGCCCCACTCCTCCACCACTGCCCTAACTGTGTTCTCACCTTCATCCCCAGAGGTCCCCTGTTCAGTCAAGGCGGCATCTTCGGGGGGCGCGGAGGGCTCAAGGGGAGGTGTGGGGATGGGAGTAGGGGGGCTGAAACCTGGCTCAGGGGGTAGCACGGTGATCTGGGTGCACTTGCCGTAAAGGTCCACGACGGCCCAGACACGAGCGGGGAGGCCCGTGGCAGCCACCCCGCAATCCCGCCCATTCACCCAGAGCCGCAGCTCCCCGGCAACTGTGCGCTCCACGCCCACACGGTCCCCTTCACCAAGCTGGTCCAGGTCCTGACCATACTCCTCCAGCACAGAACGTCCGTCCCTCAACACCGAGCAGCCTGACACTACCCATGAGCCCCCCTTCAGCCCCGTGGCGCTGCTTGGGAAGTCCAGCACACTGGGGTCCAGTGCCGTCACCCCAATCTCAATGGAGCCACTCCAGGAGTTGACCTGTGATAAGGGTGGTGGACAAAGGCTCAGGATGGGCCACCATGGGTCTCCCACCACTAGGAACCCACGTTTCACAGACCACCGTGTCCCCTTCTTCCCACGTCTCCGACTTTTCTCGCCTGAGATGTGAAACGCTACTCCAGAGAGGCTGGGGTCTCTGTGACTCCTGCACCACCCGGGGTTCACAGCTCTCCTATACCACCCTCCTCCTCCCCGTGGCCTGATTCTCTCCCAGGCTCTGGCTCACATTCCGTCTCTTCCCACATCCCACCTCCGTGCACCTAGCCTCTTCACCAAATCACACCCAAGCACGCACACCTCCCTCTCCGCGAGTGTCTCTCCTCGCCCATCTTTCCGCCCGAGTTCATGCTCCAGTAGTTGGTTCTCTCCCCGGTTCTCCCCTCTCCTCCCGTCACATCCCTGACATCCCTCCATCCCCCCAGAAATGATTCGGGAGATCTGGTCCCTAACCATTCCTGGGGATGCAGCCCCGTGTCCCTGCCCAGCTCCTGCGGGTGCAGGAAACTCCAGCTCTCCTCATCCCTCTCCCCGTCATGACGAGCGAACGTTTCTGCTCCATGCGCCCCTCCTGCCCGTCGCCGGGTGCCCCGAAGGTCTGTCGGTAGCCGGCGACGTGGGCTAGTCTGGATGTCCTACCCCGTGTCTCCCGCTCGCCCCCTCCCACCGCCCTCCACATCTCGGTTCCGCGGGCCCCGCTCCGCACCTTGCGGTCGATGCGGACGGTGAAGACGCGTCCATCGCGCAAGGGTTCCCGGCTCAACACCAGCCCGTGGTTAAACTCTTGGCCCGGCTGCTGCCGCCGCGCCGTCCGCCCACAGGCCGACAGGCTCACCAGGCGCCCAGTGCGCGGGTGCAGCTCCCCGCCGCTGCCCAGACCCCCGCCGGACCCCGGCCC